TATATATGTATCAATATTGCAATATGAGGTTTTTATATAGCATGATTTAAAATTTTATCCAAATATTTTTAGGGGCCTGAACTTTACGAGAAAAAAAAGCAATAGGATTTAACAGGAGAGATTGTTGTTCTTTCTTATCCCTTTGTTAAATAGTGAACCCTCAGATTTGTCTTGGCATCCTTATGGGGTCTGGACCCTCAGGTTGGGGACCACTCATTTAATTGCATCATCTCCTTTGCTCTTCCATCATAGCATGATAAGTTAGATCAAAGCAAGTGGTGTAAATAGGTGTTGTCGGTTCTAAGGGCCCATTAATGTTCCATGCTTCATGTCTGGAAAATGTTCTAGTGAGAGAGAGAATAAAATTTCACTAGGAACCATAAGAAATGTTCTTTTCCATGCCAGAGAATTTCAAGCCCATGTGACAACTCATCATTCCCCTCCGGCTGTGTTTTATCATTTGTTTCCTTCTGCATGTAAGCTTTGCCACTGATTAGTATATGCTCTACTTGGCATATTAACTCCAGAATCTACTGAAGCTCTCTAATAGACCACCAGTGTCTTATGCTGCAAAGCTATTTGATGCTGTGATATCCACTAGAATGAATGAAAATATAACGCCCACGTTGATATGACTGCAAAGACTAAACTCTCACTGAAGAGATACGACAGGGTTGAAAAAAAAATACTGGAGATGGGACTTGAGGCTCACAAATGTTGTACATCCGGTATATGTGAATGACTCCAGCACAGAGGGCCCCATATGGGTGATGCATGGGAGCCATTTTTGTTCAGAAGCGCTGATCCAGGGCGAGTCTTTTTTTTAGCAGAGGGAATTCCTCCTGCCTGGCTGCTTTGATACAGAGTCCCTGGTTGTATTTACATACATACAGTAACAAGGAAGCCTGCACCAACAACAGAAAGGGAAGCAGACCTCCTGTTACAGAACTGAAACAAGCTGATGCTACGACGGTCGGACATGTTTTTCAGACACCTAACAATCATTTTGAAGGCTGTGACTGATTGTTATTTTCATTTTTTATCACCTATTTTCACAATTAATCAATTATTTGGTCTACAGAGTGTCAGCAAATGTTCCCAGAGCCCATGGTGAAAATTTAAAACGTCTTGTAATGTTTGACCAATAGTCCAAAATATATAGTTTACTATCATGGAAGAAAAGCAAAAAATATTCACATTTGAGACGATGAAACCAGCAAATTTGGTCATTTCAGTTATGACAAAATGAATTAAAGAACTAATCAATAATCAAAATAGTCACTGTGGCTCTGTGGCTCAGTGAACAAATTCATTGATGAATTGTTTCAGCTGTACTCAGGAAAACGTGTTTCATCATTTTCCTGAAGATGCACCACAGGCCCAAAATGATCAAGGAAATCTTTGTACAGTTTCTGTGAAATAGTGACATCAGTGTTTCATCACTCCGGCTGGATCTAAGCAATAGTGGTGTCAAGGACACTCTTAGCTTTTTTTAGTCTTTAGACCAGGGCTTCTGTACACAAATGGCCATCAGTTGGAGAATATTGCCAATACAACAGAGCATCTGACAAAAATCCTGTTTTGATAAAACACTCCAGCGCAAGTGTTGGCTGCAGCATCTGCTGCCAAATGAAAGTGGGAGCTACCATGGCACATACAAACACCATCAAATGAGAGCAATGACATGCTTCTTTTAACTCCTTCTCTTCAATAAAGATCATTCATCAGGCAGAACCATCCCTCTGGAATGTGTGATTGGAAATCAGGGGACTTTAAATCCCTGTCCAGGACACTCCATCCATCTTCAACACGCCACTGGTCTGGACGCTCAGAGATGAACTGCTGAACCAGATGCCTCCATTCAGCCAGTCTCCTCCACCTCTTTTTTAAAAAATAATAATAGTAAATACCGGCAAATGCATGGAACCCAAAAATCAGGCAGCCACATCACAATTTCACTGAGGCAGTGAGGCATCCCAAACCTGCATCCAATTTAGAGAGATATGGGGAGCAGGGGAGGCAGAGAGCCCCCATATGCACTCCCCAAAAACAAAACAAATGCAGGATATTACGTGTGTGCAAGTGTGTCAGATGTATACATGGGCTAAAAGGGGTGATAGTGTTGAGACATGAGGTGCGGCCTAACCTTTGGAAGGAAACAATCCAACGCTGTGATGGCCTTTCCTGTGTTGACACGCTTGGAGAAACCTCTGGAATCAGATGGCATTCACCCTCTGATTCCCTATCAAAACGCCATTCGCTCACCATTATTACAACGGCGACGCCTATAGTTGGATATACAGAGTTCACAATTATTCTCATGAAATGAAGGGGAGGAAAAGATGGATGTTAATGTTACACAGTCTGCATGAGAGCCAGGATGGCATAATTTTGCTGTATTCTATGTGTAATAAATATGACTGATGGCGATAGCTAGTCTGTTGAATTACATTTACATATAGATTTACATTCCCATCAACATGTAATAATAGCACAGGCCTGAAGGTCCATACTAGTCACTCAGACATGCATGCACACGCCCAATGTGCACACAGACATATTCTGACATTTCATAACTAATATTTGTGCCTTTATTGAGGAAGGTGAAAAAGCCTAGCATCCATCAGACTGACAATAGTCCATGTGGTGAGAAACAGTATTAGACCCTGCTGGATCTTTTGTCTGCAGAAAGATATGATGACTCAGAAGTAAAGCAGCCCAGTTTACAATACTACATTAACTTTAATAATGACATTTTATTATCAGAGTACACATTTCACAATAATGTAATCTCTGGGTATTCTCAGAGCACATAAACTGTGTGCAATAAGTTTATAATATTTAGCAGAGGGAGAGAGAGGTGGAGGTTGACAGGCATCATGGTGGGAAATTTCTTTTGCAATGAAACTGCTTGGTAATCCAACCAGTCCGAGAGGCACTCCAGATCACAGCTAAACAAAAGGCTATTTTCAGGCTATCGGGTGAATATTATGGGATCATACTGTTGGAAGGGGATGAAACCAGAACTAGATGTACGAGCAGGTATTCGGGTCATTATACTTATTTAAGGCCCAGAGCTCCTGTAACCCACCTCTGAGGATACCCCCTACCCACCCATCACCAGCCCCTTGTCATTGCCATTTCAAGCACTAAATCCTAAGGTATACTACTAGGCTATAGTCACAGACAGATATTACTTTTAAAGCCAAGACAAATTAATGTGAGTAGGCTGTATGTTTTATGTGTATATGCTGTGAGTTTGAGTTAGATAAAAGAACGTTTACGGCTATTGGCTCATGGTCCTACCTTTTCCTCATGATTTCCTGTGATCATCATTCACCAGCAGATATTTCAAAACACTCGATGAGTCGTTTCCAATCAGACAATCAACGTAGCTACTGATTCTGTTGGCTGTTTCTGAGAACGTTTGAAGGACTTTTGTGAACAAACCAGATTCCAAAACAAAAAATCGAATCACAAGAGGAAGCCAGGAAGTGGACCTTTAGTTGGGATTGTTTTGTCAAACTATTATGTCAAAGTTCAAGAATAATCATTCAACCATTCCACTTTATAACTTAAACTTAAACTAAGTGGGAGAAGGAAGTAAATATCTAACAGAGGAAGTGTGGTTCAACATAGTGTATGTTAAATAATGGCCACCATATACTTCTGGTCATTGGAGGGAATATCATGAGGTTTTATACAGTGGCAGACCAGAATCAGGGCTCTCTTGGAGACAATGCAGCAATTGTTGTTAGACAGTTGAAAATTATTGACTCAAGACAATCACAGAAATAAGTCAATACTTGAATTTAGAGATTTAGACATCTTCTCAAAATATCACTTGTAGCAAAAAAAAACAAACAAAAAAAACAACTAAGGAAGAAGTAACCACCAACAAAAGTAGACTAGATAGTAAAAGCAATGTTTAATGTAGAATGATTTACTTCTACAGGTCAGGTTTCAGTTGATGTTCACATCAAACATCAAAATGGGGAAAATTTTATCTCTGTGACTTTAACATGACATGATTGTTGGTGCCAGATGGGCTGATTTGAGTATTTCTCAAACTGTTGATCTCCTGGGATTTTCACACATAACAATCTCTAGAGTTTTTACTCAGAATGGCGTGAAAATCAGGAAACATTCAGTGAGCAGCAGTTCTGTGAAACGCCTTGTTGATGAGAGAAGTCAGAGGCCAGACTGGTTGAAGCTGATAGAATGGCTATGGTAACTCAGATAACCACTATTCACAACTGTGGTGAGCAGGAAAGCATCAGAATGAACATGTCAAACCTTGAGGCAGACGGGTTACAACAGCAGAAGAACTCCTGTCAGCCAAGAACAGAAATCTGAAACTGCTCTGGGCACCTGCTCACCAAAACTGGAAAAATGTAGCCTGCTCTGATGAATCTGGATTTCTGCTGAGGTACACAGATGATAGGGTCCCAATTTCACATCATCAGCATGAATCCATGGACCTTACCTGCCTTGTGTCAAAGGACCAGGGCTGGTGGTGGTGTAATGGTGAGGGGAATGTTTTCTTGGAAACTTAAGGCCCCTTAATACCAATCATATCATAGTTTGAGCCTATCTGAGTATCATCGCTAACCATGTGCACTATGGCCGCAAGTTACCATTTTGTAATGGCTATTCCTCAGACTACTTTCATGAACATGGCAATGCCCCACCACCCCCCACCCGTCTTCTGAATATTGTTTTGAAATTATGTTTTAAAAAAGAATGTATTTTCCTGTTTCATCTGAATTGGTTTATATTGTGGTTGTACGGTGGATATACTTAAATTGATTTGGTTATTATAGTATTTCTGAAATCCTAAAAAAAAAAAAAGCCAGCCCGGAAACAACGCTAATCTAACAATACCCAGTCTTTCATGATAGCCTCACAAATATCACTAAAATAAACGACGAAGGGAAACGTTACGGTCGACCAACCTATTTCCCCTCGCACAAACCCGGAAATAGTCTGCCTGTCTGCCTCTGGCTGGTAGCAGGAGAGCAGCTACGACACCTGTAACCTCTGCAGTTTGTTGGATAAAGGTGAGCTCCTGCTTGCTGTCATTTTATGTGAAACATGTACAATGGTGGCTTCGAGTCGAGCGACTTTAGCTCCATGTGTTTGTTTCTTTTCATGCGTGTTTGAGACTGTGGTGCTTCATTGTTTACATCCGACCGGCTGCTCATAAACACGTGGACAGACAGGAGGGACACATGCTAACCAGGGGCTTTCGACATGTGGAAATAACCTGAAATAACCACAGTTTAGCGACCGTTTTTCAATTCCCGGGTGTTTTGCGGTTAAGGAAGTTTCAGTCATTTAACACTCGCTTCTTATGGAGCTAACTAGTGCCCCAGTCTATCTGCTAGCTCGTTAGCATCCAGCACTTAGCCACAGCTACCACCATGCTAACTACAGTCAGAGTGAATAATCACTTTAAATAACTGAGGTTTCTGTTGTTTTGCTTGTCGTTGTTGTGAAATGGTGGGCTGTGCGCTCAGGACCCCAGTCTGTCACTCTACTGTGTGTTTTCCTGAACTACTAAACAACATAACAACACAGCATCTTCAAATCACTGAACTTATTACTTTATTAATCCCAAAGGGACATTGCGGCATTGCAGCCGCCACGTCACATAAATCACAAAAACAATGACCTGGGTAAAACAACATACAATCAAAAGTTTAATTGTACACAGTAACCAAATAGACTATAGACTCAAGCTATACTTATACTATGAGCTGAATATACACGGTACAATTATAGTAATAAAGTATAATACACTGTATATTAATGTAAGTCAGGTGGATATTCTAAAAAAAAGTACACTATAAAGTACACACTGTCAACAGAAGAATCTGACTATAACAGATGTGATGGATAATGTAATTTACAGTCCAGGTGAACAGTCTGTCTTGTTATGAGGAGAAAATGAGGCTTCACTGTCAGAGGAGTCCCCTCTCTCGACACAGGAGAATCATTGTACAGAGTTATGGCAGCCGACTGGCTCTGATGCTGCTGCCCTGGTAGATAGCAGTGGAGAATAGTGCACTGGCCACAACAGACTGGTTAAAGATCTGCATCCTCTTGCTGTGCAAATGAAGGACCATGAACTAGAGTCTGCTCTGTCCCTTCCTGTAGACAGTCTCTATATTGCGTTTCCAAACCAGTCTGTTGTTGAGGTGGACTTGACTTCTATGTATCCTTCCACCACTTGTACTTCCTCTGTAAAAATGGAAATCTTCTGAAGGGATGACATTAATGCACTGACTAAAAACCAGTAATGATCTGATTTGATTTGACACATAACACACTTGTCCAAATGTCCAAACAGTTATTGAAGAAGTAGTCAGGTCCTAACTCAAGCAAGAGTAGAAATACTACAATATAACAAGAGGCACTTGGATTGCCTTGTGTCCCACCATGAACTCCATAACAGATCCTAAGAAGAATGCTAACAGAAGTTATATTAAAAAAAATCTGTTTTACCTCTTTTAATATGCATATTACGACAGTGACACACAAAAATCTAATCAGATCGCCTGCTCTGTACGGAATACCTGTCGTGCAGGTATGAAGTTTCTGCTATGTATTTTTATTGACTTATTGCAATCACAAAAAATTAGACCAATTAACTGATCTAATTACCAAAAAATTTAAATCAACATGATTGTCTTTCCATACTACACACCCTGTATTGATATGAACTGGTTAGTTTAAAGTGTTTAGGAGTTACTGCAATTTCTAGGAATCCAGCGCTACCTCACTAACAATTTAAGCCACAGAGTTCTAGAAAATCTGAAGTTTCCACTATGTTTGTGTGTCTTGATTTATCGTCGTCAGAAGAATGTGTCTACAGAGTCACAGATGCCAGCAGGACAAAATTATTACCTGCCTACCATGTATCCCATGGTGGCAGGAGATAAAAATGTACACAATATAAAAAAATATAGTATATTGAAGTAGTAAAAATCCTGCATATAAAATTAAAAGTACAGAAGTTTTGGACGCAAAATGTACTTAAATGATCAAAAGTAAAAATATTTATTATGTAGAATGGCCTCTGTCAGTATTTGGTATTATTGGATTATTATTGACTTCTTTATTATGCCTTTGGGTGGTTTAATCAATAACGTGGCACCATATTTTATAGGATGATCACTGTTTTGTATGTAAAACCTCAATCTGCAAAGGAACTTGTTTGTATGGTAGAGTTAAAAACTACAAGGTTTCCCTCTGAAATGTGGAGGAGTCTAAGTACAAAGGATGGGCTAATCAATACTGGATGTTCTAGGCCGATACTTATATCAATATTCGGAAGGTACTTTAGGTCATTTACACCTGTGCTTTTTCTAGTGGAACAAGTCAGATTGTCTTACGTGGAAAAGCCCTTTGAGATGCGAGTTATCCCTCCTTTACAGATGCAACACAGCTAACAGGAGAGATATCAAGATGTCAAGTACAGTCTGTACACACCCTCACACTCCTGAGCACGGCTTTAATTAGGTAGATTAAGTGAAAACACCTGTGTTGGCAAATCATGACTGTACAATACTTTACATTCCACCACTGTAAGACACAGTCACTCATTGGTCAGGTCCAGGTCCGTGTGCACTACTAAACTTCAGAACTGTGGCTCTCCCTCACCCCCTCACCTCAGACTCTTCTTTCTGTCCCTTTAATCCCTGGCGGGCGGCTTGTGGCTGTCTAGCGTGGCGTTTCTGCAGTGTGTGCGGTCTGAGAGCCAATCATCTCCAGCCATCATGGCACAGACACGCAGGACTGGACAGAGCAATGGGCCGATGCCCCCTCTCTGTCCAGTGTGTGTGTCTGTGTCTGTGCGTGTGTGTGTGTGTGTGTGTGTGTCTGTGCGTGTGTGTGTGTGTGTGTGTTAGAGAGACAGAAACTGGGAAATTAGCAACACTGTGTGTTTTACAACGAGTAGTGAATAGATAATTCAGTGTTTCTAACATAATCAGTCAAAGTGGGCCTGATTTCAACAAACACTTAACATAATCTGTTATGTTAAGTGTTTGTTGAAAGCAGCACTGGACAGATGATAAACCTGGATCCAAGCTGTGTCTTAGCACCAAACCTCTGATGAAATGGTTTACAGATAAAAAAAAAAAAAAAAAAATATGAGCGCAGCTGAACCGTGCTCTCTTTCAGCTTTGTTAACAAGCCCTTATGGATTTCAGAACAAGACTGAAATCTGTGCCCTTCCTGTAATTGATGCTGGCCTGTGTCCACTTATTCTTCAGTGCTGTAGATTATAGTTTAAGTAACTGTATCTTGGGGCAGCAATTAACGATTATTTTCATTATTGATTAATCGATGAATTGTTTGTCTACAAAATGTCTGAAAATAATAATTATTAATGCCCATCGCAGTTTGAGGTTACATCTTTAAATATCTGGTTTTGTCTGACCAGCAGTTATTAGTAAACCTTTAGTCAACCTAAAGATATTCAGTTTTCTATCATGAAATCCACACATTTGTGAAGCTGGAACAGACAAATGTTTGGCATTTTTGCTTGAAAAATTATTGAAATTATTAATTGATCATCAAAATGGATGCCAATTAATTTTCTAGCAATCAATTCATTGACAAATACTTTCAGCTACACTGTATTTGCATCAATACAATTCATTGGATTAAAACTTATTACAGAGAGAAATTCAAAAATTCACATCTGTTTCAAGACATCTGTGTTTACTTATCTTTATGTTCTGGGTCTGATTTTACTGCAAACGTTTATCAATATGATACTGTTTAGCATCTGCTAACTATAGGATTATTGAGCTTCCCACCAGACGTTTGAATCACCTGGCAGTGTTTTCAACTGTATTAATATTTAATGAAAACATAAAAAGCATATGTATTGGTAATCTGGTAACTTGCTTCCTAGAAAGCTGACAGCAATAATGTAAATGTGTAAAATCTTGAAATGATTTGGCGATTCATTGATGAATCGATATGCTGTAAACTAATCAACAACTATTTTGCCAGAGAGGATGAAACAAGCAATTTGAATATGTTACTTTGGGCTTTAGAAACTTGTGATTGGAGTAGACCAAACTAGAATGAAAAGGATTAGCAATAATATTAAGTATGCATTGTTAATCATAAATCGGCTAAACATGCAAAAGAGTTGTTTTTTAGGTGTAATAATAATATATTATTTTGTGCATTAACCAATTATTAATTGTGATCAGTTGATTACTCTAACCCACATTTGTTTTTATGTCTGTGCTTTTATCCTTGCAGCCGGCTTCAGCCTCTGAGGTCACCGTCACCCCAGCTGTGTGTGTATGTGGGTGTGTGTGGGAGCTGGTGAGGTGTGCGAATGTATGTGTGTTGAGGGTGTTTTAGAGTGATGTACTGTACCTATCAAGACCGTGAGGAGTTGGAGGATGATCTCTACCATGAGGATGACAGAGACTCTGAGGGGTCAGAGGCCAACAGCGAGCTGGAGTTCCGCCTCTATAGCCAGCTCCACTACTCCTCTAATGCTGGGGAGATGGAGGAGCAGGAGGGCACAGGTGAGAAGGCGGAGGGCCAGGACAGCCGGCAGCCAGAAGTGACTGAGAAGACTGCAGACGCCAACGGAGAGCTGGAGCACACTGGAGAAAGTGGGCCACCGTCACCTAATATAAGCAAGCTACTGCAACACCTGAAGAAGAAGAAGAAGAAGGAAGGAGAGAAAAGTGATAAGCAGAAGAAGGGGAAACGTGATCCTAAAGGTCAGAGGTCGTCATCACTTTTTGAGGAGGTCATCGTGATTGACTCCGGCCCTGATGTCATCTCCATCTCTGACGATGACACTGCTGATGATGAAGGGGTCTGTGCCTTAAAGGGTCAAAGCTCACACCGGCTGCTGACTTCCACCCCAGCACATCAGGTAGAGGACAGAGAGAGACGCTACTGTGTGATTGCTCTGATGTAGTTGTCCACAGTATCGCTCATATAGTTCATTTGAGTCTCTGCCTGAGGTAACTGCTGAACTACATTCGACACAGACTTTACTGTACAGATCTTTTTATAAAGTACTAAGCAGAGAAGCCAAGCAAGAGAAAATGACTGTGTTAAAATGAGCTAAATTACATTTTTAATTGAATTGACAACTATGGTCATTAGAGGTGCAATAGAGGTCTTGCAAGTAAAAAGCTAATTAGAGTAATTTATTAAAACATATTTTTCATACGTTTGCAGAAAAGCTATAGTTTCAACTGCTTTGTGCGCCCTCTCCCATCCAATGTTTAAATCATGATGTGCTCATTGGGTTAATAGCAACTTGTTATGAACAAGCTCAAACTAAAGCTGGCTGTTTGTAGCTAACTGTTTAGCCTAATTGTTCACGTATCTTAAAGTCTGAAAAAGTCTTATAGACTTTCTGGGTGAGACACCAGCCCCCACTCCCAAACCAGCCCATCTTCGCTCAACCAGTGGTACCTGTACTTTTGTGTGATTAAGAGTCAGGATTGGGGATCATTAACTCCTTTTACCAGAATACATAGAAAATGTTCCTCTTGTGTCATCTTGGTGAAGACAAACATTGTAGCAGCACAAACAGCAGATAGATGGTGTACTTTAGATCACACCATTATATAAACTACACAGTGTAACTGTTGAGCTGATGCCTCATTCTGATTTATTCTTGCCTGCTTATACCAATTTCACATAATATGGAATGTATCGGAGAGACGGTGTATTCAAGTGTAGTATGATTGTAGAGTTGGTTGTTTGAGGGTTTAGAAGTGCTGTGAATTTACACTAAAACACTTCAGTTGGCTTTATAGATGGACTTTGGCTCTGACTTTAGGAGGGATCATTACAGCAAACAATATACATATGGACATCTGGCTGTTGTTTTAAGACAGGGAGATTTGATGGTGTCAAGTTGTATGTTTTTGACTTAATGTTTACCACATGGGCCATTTTGTTTTTCCTTTTCTCTGAATTGACAGTGCTGAGCACTATTTTGTCAATCTACTGTCCAGTGGCCAGTTCCAGTTAAATGACTGACTGGTGTTGAGTGTGTTGATCTGCAGCAACAGTGGGGCGTGTAGTCAAACCACTGAATGGTTTGCTGCTGCACCAGAGTATTGACCAGAAGTTCAACTGGAATAGAATTTATTCATGCACTTAAACAAGAGATGATGCTCATATGAAAGAGTGGATGAATGGGCTGTTTTTAAATCTAATTATACTTAGAATTCACACCTAATTAGTGGTTTGATCAGTTCAGTAAGGAATGCATAATGGTGCAACTGAAAGCTTTGTATTGACATCTACAATATGGTTGTTGTTTGGTCATCTAGGCAGACCAGAAAAGGAAGAGCAATCTCAGTGTGCCGGTGACTGTGGATTCCAGCAGCTCAGAATCGGATTCGGAAGAGTCTGAATCCAGATCTGAATCTGAGTTGGATTCTTCGGATTCTTCGGATTCTTCTGATTCACCTGATTCGGACTGTCTAGAGAACTGGATGATACTGGGTCGAGGGAACCAGGAAGGAGACCAATCCATCTCACTCAATCTGGAAGGAGGGTCTGACAGCAATACAGGTGTGTCTCGTGTTTACGTGTGACCTCATTTTTGTGTGTGTGTGTGTGTGTGTGTGTGTGTGTGTGTGTGTGTGTGTGTGTGTGTGTGTGGTGATTGTGTGTGTGTGTGTGTGCGCGTGCTGTCTGCACTGGGTATTGTTGTTCATAATTTCATTGTCCAAAGCTTTGTGATATGTTTTTGTGCATTTGATTGTGTGTGTGACCAGGAGAATAGAAGCAGTGAGTAATTTTGTATGGTCCAGCTCATTCAGAACACTTAGCCTACCTGCAGCACATTGATAAGGAGCAGGCGCAGCAATGGGCTACACTATGAACATTCTGTGTGCGTGCATGTTTGTATGTACATATGCAGCATCTGTGTCTGCATGTTTACGAATTTGTAAGCTCTTAGCATTCCTGGCACTGTCTGCGCAGTCGCCCTCTTCTCTGATCCATCTTTAAGTATGTTTGTGTGCATTATGTATTGATATGTGCGTGCAGGCTTGTGCAAGTGTGAATATTTGTGTTTATAAAATATTCCAGTTCTAATCAGCATGCATGTGTACATACACACGCATACCAACAGTCATAACGCTAATGCCAAAAACAAACAAACTGAGAGACAACAACGCAGGAGGAGAGGGAGGGGAGGTCGGGAGAGATGGGAGTAATCAAAAAATGAATAAAAATGTTCCCTGCAAATCTCTTCAGATCTACACATTATCTTAACCTGCAGCCTCAGCAACCTCTCCAGCTACTCTCCAGCCCCCCCCCCCCTCCTTCTCCCTCCTACCTAACGCTCTCCCATCTCATTCTTTTATCCTATTTTCTCACTATTGTGCTCTCTCTCCCGCTCTCCCTCTCTCTGTGTCTCTCTCACTGTTTCTTCCTCATTTGAATTTCCCTGGGCTGATGTTTCTGCAAGAGTGCTCACTGCCTCCTCTACACACAACTGGGCTAAAGGAGGGGGTCTGGAGTTGGTGGGAAGGCTTGAGGTTTTGGCCTGGTTTTGGGAGGAAAGGAGGATTTTAGGTCTCTGTGTCTCTTTCTCTCCCTCTCTCTCGTTTGGCTTCTCTCTGTGATCTTTGGAGCTTGACCTCATATCTGCACATGGGGGACCATGGGGGGCCATGGGTGTGGTGTGGAAGGGGTCTTAAAGTGGGAGGGATGGGGGAGGGTTTTGTCAAAAAAAAAAAAAAAAGAGAGAAAAAAAAAAGGGGAAATGAAGGAAATTTTAGGAATGAGCCTCAACAGTCTTGAGCTGTGCCCCAGTTCCATACTACACATTCATTCCGAGGGAGGGCTGGGTCTTTTGTGTGTTCACATAAAAAAGGGGCGAAAACATATTTTGTTATTGTTATGAATCTAATGACGAGACCAAAACCAACAATGGATTGATCTGAACAAGAATTGTCTGTGAAGTCTAATATGGCTCATTCCCCTGTGCCACAGAGCTCCGTTGTTGTCCAGAAACTATTAAAACACATCAATGAGCCACATTGTTTTACTTGGTGACATGTTCCTTCATTACAATGAAATGTAGTTTATTTTGAGTCACTCCCACTGCAGTTAATACTCACTAGTGCACCAAATGTATATTAGTCCGCAATCATGCTCTAGACTATATACTCCTGCTTGAGTAATGTTTGCTAAAAAACACAGTGCCCAAAAAAGTGAGACTGTTTAAAAAATGAGAGCATATATTTGTGACCTGCTTTTAAGGGTTTTGGTCTTGAAGGTTGGGAGGTACAGACACGTTGTTGGTTTTGGTCTTTTCATGGGATTTTTTAAGGAATAGGAAAATATGGAACTCCAGCCAGGATCTGCTGCTGTGCTTTATGGCAGAGGTGGGCCACCATGACCGAAACAAAGACCACCTCTGCTGACGTCACCAATGTGAACACACATTTATGAAATAAGACATTAACCAAAAGGGCAGAGGTGCTAGGAGGGCCTGCCATCCCTGCCCCTTTGAAACAGTATATGCATCAAATGAATGCCTGACTTTTGTGCTGTTGATGTAGACTGTTTTCCCATGACGTATTTCACAAGGGAAATGAAGGAGCTGGTCACAACTGCAAAACATTAAAAAATGCAGATGGTAGTAATAGCTGTCGGAGGATTTTTGGAAAACTAAGTAGTATTTTTCAGAGATGGAAAAACATTTGCTCTCTCAGTAGCATTCCTGATAGTACAAAACAGTAAAGTACACTGAATGCATATATATAAACAACAAAAGCAGTTCATGATACAGTTAATAAAATCATATACTAATAGACATATAGTGTATAATACATACAGTACTGTGCACAATAAGTATGAGCTACAGAACTGGGACACAGCTTTGATTATCCGTATTCTCCTCCTTTCTGCTGGTGTAGGTTTAATACTGTTCGAAAACAAGATAGTTAACTGACTTATTTTCTTCTTCTGGGAATTTGTTTCATATACTCCTTTTGTTTTCCAGAGAAACAGGAAGAGAAGACCAATTTTAGGTCACTGAGATGTGGCTGGTTGAATTTTTATGACTACAATAACCGTTACATCCATAACTAAGGGCTTTTGGATAAATATAAAGATTGTTTTCTGTTTTTATATGCCATGTTGTGTGTTGACTTTTACAGGGTGGGTGCCAGCTTGTGTTTTCACATTTGTGTTTGTGTGTGTGCGTGTGTGTGTCTATGTGAGAAACAAGTTCGCACAGCAGTGACTAATAGTATTTGTACGCCTAAACCCCATCTCAGCATCACCATCAAATCACATTCACTACACTTAGTCTCCCCCTCTCACCTCCAGAAATTGAATCCTTTCATCCTCTTTCTCTCTGTCTCGTTCTGTCTCTCTCCTACATGGTGTCACTTGTTCACATACTTTTACAATCTAATCTTTTCTCGCTCCTTCACATATGGTTTTTATCAAATACATGGACACATGGAGACACACACACACACACACACACACACACACACACACACACACACACACATACACATGCACAGCCCGAGTGGCTATCTGTCACCTGGCTGTGAGGGGCAGCTGTTGGTGGGTGGATCTGTAGGGACATTGGATAAGGAAAAGAGAAAAGATAGTA